AAAACCCTATATAAACATTGTATTTTCTGCAGTATGCACCATGTTGAGATGCAGCGAAATTATCCAAATTCTCTATTTTCATCCTAATACTACTGTTGACATCCCGATCTTACCTCAAATCCCTTGTCAATTCGGTAACCAAAAGACAGTAATCAAATCTGTTGCACTAAAGCGCATAGTTATTGGTTGCCGAAATTGAAATTACGACAATTCCCCGGGCGTGTTTACGCTGACTCACCGCAATGCATTCGAACTGCCGGTAATCGGCACACTAAATCTCTCCATTCACCTCTAACATGGCTGCCGTCGATAATGATCACATTTGTTATACTTCCGTTCTTTGCATAGAGCCGGCATGCTGTCTGAATCGGGCCTGTCGGACGCGTTGTCAGACATGGAGGAAGTGGACTTGCCGCGAACACAAGTAACTTTGTCGAACGATGGAGCTCCGGTCAGCCTGACCGCATTCAAAAAGCGGAAATTTGTTCCCGCCCACGGATTGCGTCATTTGGGCACAGCTAAACGTGCCACCGTGCGACTCACCGAAATCGGACCACGTCTGACGCTCAAACTGATCAAGGTTAGTTCTCGCGTTCAGTTTCTACTTCTGCACACATTGTATTATACTCGCTCGTTGTCCCCTTCGAATGAAAATCTGATATGGTGATTTTCCTACTCTCGCTGATATTACTTCATCGTATTTGTTTTAATGTTTGAAAATCGTCTTTACTGCATCCTTGTATGTCAGAGGAATATTGTAAGGGAAATCTGCCACCGCAGTCCTCATTTTTAGAGCAGCAGTCTATCACTTCAGGTGATACTTGTATTTGTATGGTGTATCGAACGAAGACAAACCTGTTCACAATCAAAGTTGGCCAAGAATGGTATTCTCGTTCTCAAGTTTGGCCATAAATGTGTCGGCGAATAATGGTTCTAAAGGTGACCCCATGGCAGCCCCATCCATCGCTATTGAATTTAAACTGTACGTTATGCGTGCATACGAATAACAATGACATTGTTTGAACCTCAGTTTTTGGCTTCGTAAATCTCAATGACATCGTTTCAATCAACGGCAGTTGTAGTAAAAGGAGCAGGAGGAGGAGTAATAGTAGTTTTTTGCGGTCGTCACTCACCGGTCTATGTATTGTGACCTCATCACCAGTATGTGAAGCCGTTTGAGCGGTTAATCGTGACCATCGAACAGTTTAGCACCTTCTCTGCGGATAGCAGTGCCATACGAATATTTGCTTTAGAGATATCCGATCCAGGTGCAGTGTTATCTAATTTTTCGTTGATATTTCAACGTAGCACTTGTTTATCCTATAAACCAACTAAAATTGTTTTCCCAAACTCAAAGCACATCAAACGTTGTGTCGTCCCTGAGAGTTTTTGTCCATCATTGACTGTGTAGTCCCACCTGTGCAGAGTGTTCTCACTTAGGTAGTTGTTCTCTCCTACAGATCGAAGAAGGCTTGAACACTGGTACGGTACTCTACCATCGTTGGCAGTCCCGAAGTCTGAACGAAGTCGCCGATCAAGCAGAACGACTTCGACAGCGTGAAGCCTTGCGTGCCCTTCGTCGATCCGAACACGAGGCACGTCGAGCCGCGAACGAGGCTGCTCGAGAAGCCCATCGTCAGGCTTGTCTGGAGGGTATGCGTCGTTTGGGTCAGTTACCAAAACAGTCCTCGCCCGAGGATTTAAAACAGGAATGCGCTGCGGCCAGTTCCGAACTGGACGTAGATGATGATGATGATCAATCACCAACTGATGTGAAATCAGCAAAACGCCGCGAATCGCAGCCATTCCTGAACAAACATTCTCAAACCACAAACAAATGTAAACGTAAATTGGTCCTTCCGGTGCGTGGGTTATCTGCTGCTTCAAAGAAAACAAAGATCAGATTCGCAAATGTAACTCAAGGTAACCGGGGTTATTTTTTTTTACTGGACGTTTTCTCTTGGCATAGTTCATTTACCAATGGATGGATCAGTTATGACCTTCAGATGAGCGTTTGGTTGAGGAACTCGTCAACTTGAGACATAGGATTGATCAAAGTTGTGAGCAACTCAGGGTTTCCTCCAAATAGCCGTGTTTAACGGCCAAGCGATAGAGGAGGTTTTTGCTCGAGTCAACATAACTCCCTATGTTGATTAGCTTTTGCTTGTTTCAGGTCGAAAAACGTCTGTATAGTCCATCGGAACATTGAATTTGTGTTTGATGCGCAAATTAAAAGGCAACACTTGAGCACAGTGGCGAAGAAACTCATTTAATTATCTCGTAATAACCGTCCCAATAGTGTTCAACACATTTTACATGACTGATTATAGTCGCAGGAGGTTTCGGTGAATGGGAATACAGACTGAGTTTTTGCATACTAGGGTCTCAATTACTCCCTACTTAGAATACAGTTATCTCTTTTGTGGCTACTGGAGCACCGATCACATGTCGCAATTTGGGTCGTGGAAGACTGAATGCTTGTACAAATCGCTTTTGAGCGCTCAAAGGCGGTTGCGGAAATGGATGCTTACTGCATTCGCTGCAGGAAGGTTTTCCATAAGGATTATCCATTGACAATGGATACACCATTCCCCTATCATCACCCTCGAATCATATACTCATTTTTGCACCATTTCCCCCTCGTCCCGTTCTTTGCTCCTTACAGGAAAATCTAAAAAGACCGGAAGAGTCACGCAGTCGCTGTCTTACACCGTTCCAGGCAGGAAAGATGCTTCAGAAGTCTCGCATCGTAGTTGAAATTTAATGTTTATGTACATAATTGTGATTGAAAATAAATTTATCTCGACCATCGGTCCTGTCAACTTTTCTTTATCTCGCAACATGATCAGGGAAGAACCTGGCGAACTATGCGTGCAGTTCTCTGTGATGTTAATGAAAAACGCAGATAAATGGAGACTACTAAGTAGCGCAAGTCTTGCAAGTCCCAATAGATCCACCTTGGACGTCGTCCCCACCCTTATTCATTTTATCACCAAATCTTTGAACAACTCTGTTCGGTGTTATTCTGGACTTTTCTTCAGCTTTTGGTTTTATTTCTAGGTTGTTACGAAAACTGGAATCGTTTGAATGCCCAAAGCAGTTGTTAGCTTGGCTATGCAACTATTTTACTGATAGAGTACAAACCACTTGATTGGGGAAGTCTTCATCTAAACCCTTAGTCAGCAACTCCAGAGTTCTTCAAGGAACTGTGATATTCCCATACTTAGTTTCCACTTATATTTGTGATGTTCCCTGTTTCTCCTGCACGTATTTCGAAACATGCAGGTGACGTCATGCTGTGCCAACCCATTTCTTCTTACTCCCACCGACAATCTTGATCAAATTCAGTCATTCCCGGGGCTGACCCTAAACCTCAGTTAATATGTTGAGTGTTTGTATAGTTTTGCTCACTCTCCATATCCGACAGACCCCACAATGGTTAATAACAATCTTATATTTAAGGTGGACTCTGTCAAATATCTTGGTGTAACGATAGATGGCAGTCTTCATTGGTCAACCCACTTCCCACACTGCTTTGGCAAACTGAGGCGCTTATCATTTCAAATTCGAAAGCTCAGGCAGTTTCGCGCATCCTGGTCAGTTATTTCTACTTTCGTTTGTCGGTGTGTTTTCCCCCATCTTACTCTACTGTTCCCCAATTATTTTCCCCGGCTTACTCAGTCTTGCGCCGCGGTCTAATTATTATTAGCCATGTCTCTTCTATTCCTGTGAATGAGTTAGTTCTAAGCTTTCAGGGTATCACGTAACTTCCTGCGTGAAATTTGCTGAGAGGATTCTGACAGATCCTGACCACCCGCACGCAGAGCTGACACGTTGTTGTTCCTATCATTCAACACGTTCCCAATTCCACCAAATTTCATCTTGAATTACCTACCGCAATTCACCTGTAACTTAACTTGCTCGTTTACTCACAAACAAAGAGCGGACAATAAATAAACTTTGTCTTAACCTTGGATTATGAAATGTCCCCATGTATGTAAAAACAATTTCTCCCAGTTTATTATGTACATTGTGACCGTTGGTGTACATGAATATCAGCTGAAATGTGTACTGCTATGCTTGCAAAAGTTATAGAGAATACAATACAACGGATGAAGCCTCTTATCAAAAGGTGCTGGTGGAACACTGATTCAAATCCTGTTCATCCCTGTCAGTGAACTTCTCCCTTGACTGTGATGTAAAACCCTCGGTTGTACTGCGATCAAGCTCGTAAGCCATACCTGTTTATCTGTCTCCTGATCGACTGAACTAGAGGTTTTTATCCAAGGAAAATAAGCACATCACGTCGGTCCCGGGTTGATAACCTGTTGATTAACTAACTTTCGTGCTTATACTTGGTATTTATGCATTACTGATGGTTCTTTGCAAAGGTGAAAGAACGGTACGATAGTTTTCAAAGAATTCACAATGCTTGATAAGCAACTGACTGCAGATGACTAAGCCACGGCTTGACCTTTCAACCCATGTTCTTCGGCGCCACGTATTGATCATGATTCTGGGTCAACCACACTACATTTTTACACAGTAGTCGAATTTCTACACACCATACAGCCGGAAACTTTAACTAAAAGGAGATGCGAAAAACGTTAACCAATCACAAATCTTTCCTTATGTCCGTTCGACAGTATTGCGGGGATCAGAGGTCGGTGGGCTCAAACTTATTGCATGATTCGCAGAAGCTCATTAGTAAGTTCTTGGTGCGCAGCCGTTATTATGCTATCATCAGACGGTGACAACAGCATGGTTACTAGAGCCATGTGGGGGCGATTATTGGTCTCATCGATTTTTTTCCTCAACGAGGAGATACTGCAGGCTTCCTAAATTACTTAACGAAACTCCCTCAGTCGCCGCTTTAAGAATGCTGCACATAAACTTCTGATGAAGACTCGCCACGGGTGTACCAAACTATACTTTGTCAACTTCAAATGAATCCACTGTAACTTCGAGTTGATCTAACTAATCGCATTCCACTTCGAACCCTACAAGATGATTTGTGCTTCGGCCGTCGAACGTCGCCGATTGAATTGAGTCTGTCTAAACCCCATCCTTGTCCGAATGAACTAATTTCTCGGTAAACAAACGAAGATCGTTTTTGAGTGAGTTACCGAGCGAGGATGAAGATTTCGGTGGGGTGGGTTTTTGGCTGCTCGTTTCCGCCTCTCGGGGGACGTTATGTCCGCGACAGTTGAACCACCGGGCTTCACAGACGCGAATGGACTAACCCAACGATAATTGACTTCGTTTGGTCGGGCAAGGAAGCGAATTACGTTAAGAATGATCGATAAATCGATCGTCAAACTTAAACTTGAACGTTGGGATGAATCATTGCATGATTGGGTTCAGTCTAGGACCTCAACAACACGGTTAGTAAATTCCATTGAGGTCGAGGTTCTCTCGAAAGCACCAATTCGCTTGAATCAAATGCAATTGCCTACATATTGTTGGCCTGGAAGAGGATACTTAACAGCAGTACAAGGATACAGTGAAAGAATTGACAGTATTTCACCTGAGTAGTAAGATAAAATACGAACTTAATCACTAGCTAACAGAAATCACATCTCTCTGTAATTCCCGGGATGGCTATTACATTCAATCCACAGTGCTAATGACAACAATCGGTCACCTGCAGCTTCTTACCGCATCGTTGATCAACCCGTCGCATCGTTTCGCATCCTGATTGCATCTGTGCGATCCTTGTAGGTTAGTGAATGAGGCAGATCAGTTTGAACATGCACTTTCGTGCGTTGGTTTTGTTTGCTGAATGAGACAGGTGCTGATAAAAGGGATTTAGTTACCCATGGTCCCACAAACGATCATAACTGTGTACCACGTGCTTCATGGGGTACTAAGTTGAGGTGGGTAAAGTATTCTACCTTTGGTGGCCTCAATATACTTCGGCGTGAGAAAGAGTCGTTCCACTGGAAAAATCATGAGTAATCCGGGATATATGTTACAAAGGGGTATCGTTGCTAAAATGGTCGATGAGAACAAAGCTTCGGTGGTACCGCCGATGCCACTTTGCAGCTTATTTCCCGAATGGGTGGTACAACGAAAGACTGTAAATGAGCTATCCATCATAAAGGTGGAAAACAGTGACATTTTTTACTCTGAACTAAGCTGGGCGGTTGAAGACACAAGTATTTTCACATTATTACTCAACTCCTCTATAGTCACTGGCGTCTTTCGGAACGTATTTCTTGCACTCGGAACCGATCCGCCCACGTTTCGCTTGTCTCATTGGGTGCATGAGGTTAAGGGTCAATCTCGAACAGCGGACCGATGATCAACGCACCAGCGAACAAAACACTGAACCGAAGTCTTTGCATGACAGGTCTCTAGAAGCTCCCACACTAGTGCTTCGTTCACGCTCCCGCGTTCAATCTTCACCCCATTGCATTGCGAGTCAGACTTTTGAGTCAAAGGCTCCGGTTAGGGTTCCCAAAGAAAAACCCCTTCGTCGATGTGGGCTACCGCGAAGTATGTCGTACCCTAAAGTCTTGGGCACCCATATGGAAAGACTTCTTCCCCATCTGCCCAGTTCTTCCTCTCGACTCCAAACAGTCCCAGATGCCTCCTGTTTATGCCACTCATCGAATATCACTCAACGTTTTACCATCAAGGCCAGAGATTCAGAAGCTATAGAATTTTTAAAGCCAAAATCCCCTTTTCACTTGGCCGCGTTCAATGTCCGCACACTCTATCAGATCGGTCAACAAGCTGCATTAGATAGAACCCTTGAAACTTTCAGTTTAGATGTATGTTTTGTCTCCGAAACACGCATACAAGACCCTACTTCCATTATCGCTTTGCGTTCTCCTGATCCAACCTCAACCTCACGCTTCATCCTTCGTGTATCAGGCGATCTGGCCTTCGAAGCTCGCGGTGTTGCTGGTGTTGGGATTGCGCTAAGTGCCAAGGCTGAGCGCTCGATTCTTGACTGGATTCCAGTCAGTACCCGACTGTGCGCCGTACGTCTCAACGGTTCAGTTCGAGTCAACAGCTATAGAATGAAGCGTTGATGCTTATTTGTCGTATCGGCGTATACATCGACCGATTGCAGTACACCTGAAATCAAGGACGAATTCTACAGGGAGTTTGTCAATTACTCTGAGGTATTCGATCAACGGACGTCGTAATATTCCCCGGAGATTTCAATTTCATTTCGAATTTTACAACCATGACCATGCGCTTTCGTGCGCTGGTATTCTTGCTGTCTTCGGCCGCCCAGTTTGATGGGCAGTAGGAAAATAATAGGAACGGTGAAAGAGAAAATGGGGGACTCCAGTAAATTATGGCCACAAAGAAACTGAGATGCACAAACGCAATTGTTTACAACATTCAGCCATATCACACAGTATCTCTCACCATCGGTTACGATCATCCCGAGGTCCGTATCCAAGGAGCCGTACGGGACCTATGTAACTCAATCCCCTGGTTAGGGATTTCATGAAGTCAAACAACAACCGAACGCACATTCCATTTGGAAAATGTTCTGAAACGAATTCAAGAATCTGGCCTTCGGATCAATGCATCGAAGTCCCAAATTGGGAAACCGAC